AGAAATCCCCAAAAAGAAAATACTTTCATCATCATTCAACACTTTCACCACACTCACACATTATCACTGCTTTTGCAGAGGTGCTCAGAATACAACAGCTAGATGCATATACGTATAAAGATAAACAACATATCCCTCCAAACTGCCAATATCCCAAACCACTCCTTTAAAGTGCAGGCATTGTACTTCCCATTTCCAGGACTCAAGTCCGACTATATGAAAAAAACCCGGGTTTCCATGAATCCCTTCACTAAACATTACCCTGCTCACACTCCAACAGATCGTCAGGTCCCAAGTATCATTCGTCTCCATTCACACCTATCCAACACGCTCATGCACGCTTGCTGGAAGTCCAAGCCCCTCGCCCACAAAACCTCCTTTACCCCCTCTTTCCAACCCTTTCGAGGACGACCCCCACCCCTCTTTCCTTCCCCTATAGATTTATATGCTTTCCATGTCATTCCACTTTGATCCATTCTCTCTAAATGACCAAACCACCTCAACAACCCCTCTTCTGCCCCCTGACTAATGCTTTTATTAACTCCACACCTTCTCCCCAATTTCCACACTCCGAATTTTCTGCATAATATTTACACCACACATTGCCCTTAGACAGGACATCTCCACTGCCTCCAACCGTCTCCTCGCTGCTGCATTTACCACCCAAGCTTCACATCCATATACATGTACAAGCATATATATATACACAACCCCGCTGGGTTTTTCTTCTATTTTCTTACTAGTTCTTTTTTTTTTTTTTTTTTTTTTTTCAACAAGTCGGGCCGTCTCCCACCGAGGCAGGGTGACCCAAAAAAGAAAGAAAATCCCCAAAAAGAAAATACTTTCATCATCATTCAACACTTTCACCACACTTGCACATTATCACTGTTTTTGCAGAGGTGCTCAGAATACAACAGTCTAGAAGCATACACATATAAAGATACACAACATATCCCTCCAAACTGCCAATATCCCAAACCCCTCCTTTAAAGTGCAGGCATTGTACTTCCCATTTCCAGGACTCAAGTCCGACTATATGAAAATAACCGGTTTCCCTGAATCCCTTCACTAAATATTACCCTGCTCACACTCCAACAGATCGTCAGGTCCCAAGTACCATTCGTCTCCATTCACTCCTATCTAACACGCTCACGCACGCTTGCTGGAAGTCCAAGCCCCTTACCCACAAAACCTCCTTTACCCCCTCTCTCCAACCCTTGTTCTTGTTTATTTCCTCTTACCTCCATGGGGAAGTGGAACAGAACTCTTCCTCCATAAGCCATGCGTGTTGTAAAGAGGCGACTAAAATGCCAGGAGCAAGGGCTAGTAACCCCTTCTCCTGTATATATTACTAAATGTAAAAGGAGAAACTTTCATTTTTCCTTTTGGGCCACCCCGCCTCGGTGGGATACGGCTGGTGTGTTGAAAGAAAGAAAGAAAATATGTAAGGTTTATATTGTAACTCAATAATACAGAATACAGCTCTTAATGGTTCCAAATAAATATTCCATGTTGGTTTACATACATGAATCACAAGTTTTAGCTTATACTGATGAAGACAGGTTCATTTTTTTAAAGCACTTACTATCTCCCACTGAGACAGGGTATGCCTGGAGAGGGTGACCTAAAAAGTAAAACGATATGTTTTCTTTTGACATGTAGCCCCTTGACCCCAGCATTTTAGTTGCCTTTTATGACAAGCATGGCTTACACAAGAAAGATTCTTTTCCACTTAACCCTTTCAGGGTCCAAGGCCAAAATCTGAAGTGGTGCCCCAGTGTCCAAGAGTTTTCAAAAAAAAAAAAAAAATTATTTTTTCTTATGAAATGGTAGAGAATCTTTTTGTGAAGGTAATAAAACAAAGAGTACGAAATTTGATAGAAAATTGACGAAATTATGCTCTTGCGAATTTTGATGTGTCAGCGATATTTACGAATCGGCGATTTTGCCGATTTTTACTCCCATTTTAGGCCAATTACATTATTCTAGTCAACCAAATTCTTAGCTATTTCCTAGTATACTTCTATTCTATCGATTGAGCACAAGAAATCGCCAAGTCAACTGTTTCAACTAGAAAAAAAAGTGATCGAAATTCGTAATTTGGCCAATTTAAACACAAAGTTCAAAATATTCCAGTTTCAAACAGGGTCCAGAATAAACAATGTAGGTATTCCTGGCACTAAACTAACATTTCCTCTGTTCATTAGTTAGGTTTTGATGTTTTAAACAAATAAATTCATTTTGATTTTTTATTCACATAATGAATTTTTATTCACACCAAAAAATAGAAGATTTACTGTTCTGCAATATTGTAATAATTTTATAAATATCATCAAAATTTGTGAATGTATATTAGACCCACCAGCTGACGTGTATTAGACATGTGAGGTCGTTTGTTTACTCTTGAACATCGGCAAAAATTTAACATTTCCACTACTTTGAGCTCAGTTTCAAGCCATTTCCAGTGCTAAAACCAATCAAAATCATCTCTATTTCTGTAATATGTCTTCCATTCTATCAAATGAGACCAAGAAATCACAAATACAACTATAAGAAAACATACAAAAAAACACTGCAAAGTTGCTGTTTTAATCGAAAATCACGGTCTCCAGTTTTTTTCTCTCATTATACACAGTGTGCTGCAGGATTTAGTTTTATGTGGTGCACACATACCACATAGATGTATTCTCTCATATCTAGGCCCAAATTTACCACTCACAGTTTATCAGTGAGAGCCGAGCTCATGGCGTAGATCTACGGTTTGGACCCTGAACATAAAGCCGTAGATCTACGGACGGACCCTGAAAGGGTTAAGAGAGGTTCACTATACTCATAAAAATAGACAGGTGTATTAATTTTCACAGAATAAAATTATGACAAATTATCTTTACATAGCATAGGTATAAACCCAGTTAATAATAATAATAATAATAATTTTAATTTCTAAAAGGAAACAGCCCAAACTGACATTAATACACACTTTTAATAAAACCCCCTTTTTTATGAAAGCATTTCAGGCAAATTAGTCAATTTTTCCCAAGGATGACCCACACTATCGACAAATCCCGGGTACCTATTTTTACTAAAGGGGAACAGGACACAGGTGTTTAAGGAAACACTCCTGATTTTTCCACCCAAAACCGGGGATCACCCCCGGACCTCGGAAAGGCTGAGTGTCAGCAACCCATACGGGAACTCTCTATTTTCTTATCATGAAGAGACCTCTTCCACAACTAAGTGAAATTAAATAAAAAATATAATTGCAAATTTAAGCTAAAATAGAAAATTTCTGATCCTTCAGAGAGGGTTGACGGTTGAAAATAAATAATATTTGATTACATTACATAAAACCTTCTCAAAAAAAAAAATTACTTTTGTATTTTTGCTGGGTTCAAATATAATTTAAGATTTTAGTGCATAATTTTATAGTTCCAGGTAGAGGATCACTGTAATAAGGCACTTTTAAAAACGAAAGAGAAAAAAGCCTTGCCTAACCTGGTTTTAAAACTTTGTAAGTTTTGTAAATGAAAGGGGAAAAATATTATTTTAACTCATAAAAAAATAGGACCCCTTTTGAAATAAAAACACAATAAAATCAAGTTTTCTAATGTATTAGTGATATATATACAAAAACAGTAATCCTGCAAAAAAATTTTAAAAACATTTCAAGGAAATTTGAAAATTTGGTTGCAAAGTGTTTTTTGAAGACACTAAGCAGTGAGAGACCAAGTGATTTTTTTTTTTTTTCCACACTGGGCCCCCCCCTAGGGTAGGTACCCCCCCCCCCCAAAAAAAAAAAAAAATTAAATTTCACCACATTTATTCAATAGCTTTTTTGCCATAAGTACACGACATCACAATTTTAAATGAACTCCAAAATTTTAACACCTCACCCCAGCCCCAAAAACAACACCTGTTGATCAGGCGAGCCCAGAAAGACCGGGCCCATGGCCAACTCCAGGAGTAGAAACGCTCGAAACCACAAAAGGTATCCTTCAGAATGCAGCCACTATCTCCTGTATCCAGGACTCAACTACTCTTTCAATGCACCGTCGCATCCCACTGGGGAGAAAGATCCAAAAAGAAAAACGAAAATTTCTCTCTTAATTTAGTAAAAACAGGAGACTACCCCTTTCCTACTCAAACCCAAAATGTTGCGCATAATTTCTATAATTAGATAGCGGGATGCTGCAGTCCAGGGTTATTTGAATGGTGATATCTGTCCCTTTTGGCAAGTAAAGGGTTTTGAATTTTGGGGCAGTACACATAAATACCGATTTCAAAATTTTTCATGACATAACATATGTTTATATTTCCTAGGGTAACCAAAAAAAATCAAAGTGATTTATTTCCATTGGGTCCTTGTAATTTCTTATTTTTTAAACTTAGCGTTAAAAAAAGCTAAAAACTCAACCGGGAAAAAAAACTACAATAAAAGGAGATACTGAATGAATATGGACTATTTCCATGGTTTTTTTACCCAACCTGGGTGGAAAAAAAACTTTAAAAAAAAATTTAAGTTTTAGTAGGGGCCTTTTCCCCATACCGCCATTCTGGAAGTCTCACTAGCACATTTAATCTTTTTTCAAAATCCTTAAAGGGATGACTTTTAAAAAAAAACCAATGCTTCTTTATTAAACTTGAATGCTGTGCTGTTAACAAAAGAAAACAGATTAATGTAGTTGTTGATGCTTCCAACTGCTGGGAAAAAAAAAAATGAAATCAAATATATGGCCATTCTGGAATATGAAGAAGACATCTGGGAATTCTTTTGTTCAGACAGAATACATCTTGTGTCATACATAATAAATGAGAGATAACAAAATTAGCATATATACATTCATTACATACAACAAATTTAATTTCTTACCTCCATACTTCTTAAGCATATTATTCCATAGTCAATGTTTGAAATTTGGGTATTGAGAGGAAAGGGGGAAAAATTTCACAATAATATCCTTTACTGATGACGTGCCAATATATGGATTTTATCAAGTAGTTCATTTTACTTTTACTGGATCCAAGTCAAGTAAAGTTTTGTTGTCTAGGACCTGCAAACAAAGTACTGAGTAACTGTAGTCCTTGAGTGCACTCCTTATGTAATTTGAATCATATAAACTAACCATTACTGTACCAGCTAAGCTCACCAAAATCTGATAAGTACTAGAAATAAAAATTATTAAGCTACTAAGATTGTTTGACTATTTCAGAAGAGGCAATGGTAAAAATAGGTTCCCAGTTTTATATTTGAGAGATAATTATCATCATTATAATTATCATAATTCCCTATTATCATGGACAAATTTACATAAAGGATGTTAAAATTTTTATTTTTAAATCATGGCCATCTCCCACCAAGGCAAAGGGGACCTGCAAAAGAAGAAACAGAAGTTTTTCTTCTTTTTTACATTCAGTAATTTATACAGGAGAAGGGGGTTTTCTAGCCTCTTTCTCCTGGCATTTTAGTTGCTGTTTACAACATGCATGGCTTACAGAGGAAGTATTCTTCTCCACTTCCCCATGGAGAATGTAAAAAAAATTACAAGAAATTTTTGGCTACCTCGGACACAGGAATAAGATGCACAACACTACAAGCAATGTATTGCATTTGCAAATGAGGTTAAAAATTATCATTTCAAAGTAAGAAAAACTACCATTTGTGTAAGAAATAGCAAACATTTTATATAATATCTATACAAATAGTAACAGTGTTAGAATAACTTTTTGCCTAGTAAATCATCTGTTTACAGTATACATTCCTGCACACCAAGACCAAGAGCACTGGGGTAGGGCCCTTTTGAAAAAAAAAAAAAATACACTCCAAAAAAAAAATGGGAAAAAATTATACTGGTAATACCCCTAACACTGCCATCGTCTTAGTGTATTTTGGTAACATTAGCAGAGTGTTTTGAGAAAACTGATTGACTTATTACAGTAACAAATCACCTATACCATAAAAATTTACTAAAACAATATTAAAATACCCATAATATATATATTTTGAAAAAATAATCTAGCGTTAGTACAAGAATACCATATAGTTCCTTATTGATATTAATTAATATGTAGTATTAATACAATACCCCCCATACAAATGCTGCATGCTGAATACAGACTGAAAGCAAAATATATCCAAGTTGGTGATACTACAATTTCAAACTCCCAAACTCATGACCTTCCAAGTTTATTTGCTTTGATATATATCCAGTGTTTTGCTGCAGTGCTTTATGTGGACAGTTTTTAATATCAATGGTAGATATACTGACAAGTATGTAAATAAGACACACATGCACATCCAACCACATATCCATGGTGGACAAAGCATCTTCTCAATAAATGCCATAAACTTCATGCAGGCATACTTTACTGATACGCAGGTAGGTTTTTTTTTTTCATTTTCCAGTCCATACGAAAATCTAAAAACATGTTTACACTATCATGTATTAAATGCCACATACCAGTAGCTTAACAAGAAGATGGAAAACTAAAAAATAATAAAAAAAAAATTGAAAATTGCTGTAAACCATCTTAAGAGCAAGGCAAAAGCGCCAAAAGTAATAAACATGACTATAACTGAAAAGGACTGCATTAGTGAAGCATTCACAAATGAGCGAAGTATTAATGAAGTATGCCTGTATTGTGTCCTATTAATTATTCATGAGTTTCAGAGTGCCCATTTTTGGGCTTAGCATATGACCCCTGAAATGAAAACTAATCATAGGATTTCGTTCAAAATGTGCCCAATTACTTTTCGTGCCTAATTTTTTTTTCCTTCCTGGACTTTTTTTATGAATATTAAATAGACTAGAGTGATATTTAAAGAAATATCATCTTTAAAAGACAAAATGGATCTAAATCTGAAACAAAATGTATTACAAACAGAATGATATTGTAACATCTGAGAAGTCTTAGTTCATGAGGACCTCAAACAACCTAACCCTAGTGAAATTTGGCATTCAACTGTTATCATAATAAAGTAGTGTTGGTAAGAGAGATCAGACCGAACCTAATTACCCCCCATTCTCCCCTCCCCTATCCCATCCTCCCCATCCTCCCCTTTTTCCATTCCTCCTCCTCCTCCTCACCCCTCCCTTTTGCCCTTCCTCTTCTTGGCCTTCGTGATTTCTCCCACAGGCGCACTAGTTCCTAGGTAGGGGAAAGGACACCGGGGTCCATCCCATTCGTTGAGGTTTCTTGGCGGTGGCGTAGTTTGCCGTGGAATCTGATTGCCTGGGATGTCCCGATCCTCTTCGGTATCCGGAGTAGCTTTGGGTGTCTTTTGGCGACGGGTAGTATCTCTGGAAGCCACCTTCGGATTCCGGGGGTAGGTGGCTGAAGGGTATGCTTTGTGGCGATACCGGCCGCCCTCTCTTTTGTCCACCGAGGTAGCTCGGCAGATTGAGGTTGCTATCCCAGATTGCTGGTTTACTGCATGAAGGGTAGGGTATGGCACGGTTCCATGCTGCATCTGCGCTACTAGCGGTGTCGAGTCCTCTTGGGCGCGAGGGGGATTTCCGGCCCTTTCATTCCTCCTGGGAACTATTCCTCCCCGCTCCCCCTTTTTTATTCTTTTTTTTATTTTATTTTCTTTTCTTCTTTCTTTTTTTTCTTAAAAACAAAAAGCAAAGGAGTAACCTAACCATGGCAGCCCTAGTCCTGAAACCACTACCCCCGGGCCCCTTCTTGATACCGCACCCCATTCTGACCCTGCCTTTGTTTAGACCACTCTTCGGACACTCCTGATGCCCTGTACCTCTTGCTGGTGCTGTTTCCTCACACCCTTCAGGTACCGGGGCTTCGACTGACTCCTTCGATTTGTCTGAACTCCCGCTCTCCTTTGACTATGCTTCCGGCTTCTCCCTCTACGGTACGCAATTTTCGAATCGCCCACCCATTTCCTGCCGGACCAACTCCGGTCCATACTCCTAAACGCCAACGTCAATCTCCTGATGATGCCCGTCATTACCTTCCCATTCTACTCGGAAACGACCGACACGTCAGCACTCCCTCTCCACGCTCAGTTTCGGACACACAATGGACTAAATTCTTTACTTTAAGACCAACTTCTTCTTCTGCCTACCTTTCTGACCATAGTATTGCCAAAGCGCTCCTGCGTCATGTTGGCAGAGATATTTCATTTCACGCTCTCAAGAGCGTACACGCATCGATCACTGTCCAGAATGCTACCCAAGCTCATGATCTTTCTCTCCTTTCGATATCGATACTAACTCCTATCACTATTGAAAAACATCTTTCTCTCAATTCTGTAGTGGTACTGTCATTCTGTCCCCATACCATAGTCCAACAGAATTTCCAGTCATGTGGCAATGACATTTTTGACACAGCTGGAACTCCAGGATCTCCCAATCCTCAAAGTAGACACTTATGTCCTATCCTGCCCGGGGGCGAGACGTTACCCTTTGCAATGTGGCTCGTTTAACTTTTGACAGCCGAGAACTCCGTCCTCTGTAATATGTCGCGGGACATCGGTTACAAGTTCGAAAGGTGATACCTACACCGCAACAATGTAGAAATTGCTGGCGTTTTGGTCACCCAGCGAAATATTGCAGATCTATGGCCGAATGCCCAGTCTGTGGTGCCGACAACCATTCTAATACATCTTGCAGTCAACCTCCATCTTGCCTTAATTGTAATGAAGCTCACCCTTCGTACTCCCGCCGTTGCCAGGTCTACTTAAATGAACGTGAAATCCGTTGCCTCAAAGAGGCAGAAGGTCTCCCTTATGCTATGGCAGTTACTCATCTCCGCCTCCAAGGGAGACTACCCCGTGTTTCTTATTCTCGTGTTTCCAAACGTCCCCCCACTTCTGGGGTCCCATCTTCTGCAGCCTCCTCTGTTGTTACCCCTCCCATAGCCACTACGGCATCTAATCCTTTTGCTGTCCTTGGCTCTGACGTCCCGACTACAACTCAGTCTGTTCTCACATCTTCGCGTCCTTCTCACAAGCCCCAGTATCGACAAGACCTCGTACGACACCTAATACCAATCGCCCCTCTACTCAGAAGTCCAAAAAATCCACATTGCTCAAATCTTCTTTGCCCCTTCCTTCCCTTCTTCCACCTCCACACGTTACCTTTCCAGTCTCTGTACCTAGTTCTTCCCCTCTCTCTGGCTCTATTACAAGTGTGGAATTCACCCTCCTCCTCGTACTATGCCTTCCACCCCCGTCCCCTCCCAAGTTTCTCCCTCTTCTGTCACCTCCCAGGTTTCTACCTCTTCTGTCCCCCCCCACACTTCATCTCCAGTCCCTTACACTTTTCCCTCCCCCTCTACTTTGGTACAGTCCATTACTGTCCCAATCTTTACTCACCCTCCTCCTCCTATCTCCAATATGGTTTCCCATACATCTTTGAATTCAGAAACACTTGAAGCCATTTCAGAATATATTGCAGAGACTAAACCTTCAATGGACACTGATTCACTTCCTGTTCCTTCTCTTCCCTCTCCTCCATCTTCACAACCCCATCTTCGCAACGCTCCGTTCCTTCGCTACTTGAACATCTTCCAATGCCACCACACGTTGACTTTTCTAACCCCTCTAGTCCGTAGGTGCCTTTACCTACAATTCCTGATATTTTCTTCATCGCCAATCATGGCCTATTTACAGTGGAATATCCGCGGCCTCAGGGGTAATCGGGGTGAGCTTCAGATGTTGCTTTCCAGGTTTTCCCCTGTTGGTGCTTGCTTACAAAGAACCAAAATTACACTCGGCTGTTTTCCAACCTATCTCAGGCTATAATTTATTGTATTCTTCGGATCCTTTCTCAGATGGGACCTTTAATGAAAGTGCCCTTCTTCTACGCAATGATATTCCGTACTGTCAACATTTGTCCATACCTCGCTGCATTACACTGCAGCCCGTATCCACTTGAATAAGTGGTTTACAATATGTTCTTTATATCTCTCTCCTTCTCGAGCATTTTCTATCCCAGACTTTGCCTTTCTTGTTTCATCCTTACCACCACCACTTCTGTTACTTGTGATTTTAATGCCCACCATTTCCTCTGGGGGGGTCTCATTGTGACTCACGTGGCATTCAGTTGGAGGCTTTTCTGCCTCTCACCCCCTCCATGTTTTAAATACGGTACTCACTCCCACCCATTTTGATCCTCGTACTCATACTCTCTCTTGCATCGATCTATCAGTCTGCTCTTCCTCCACTGCACTAGACTTCACCTGGTCTGTTCTACCAGACTTACATGACAGCGATCATTTTCCGATCATTCTTACTTCTCCTTCCTATTCACCACCTTCCCGTAACCCTCGCTGGCAATTTGATCGGGCAAATTGGGATCTTTACTCACACCTCACTGCTTTTAGTGAGGTTCCTTCTTCATCCTCCATTGATGAGCTCCTACACATCTTCTCGACATCAGTTTATACCGCAGCTTCTCATTCTATACCCCAAACCTCAGGCAGGCATTCTCAGAAGTGCGTGCCTTGGTGGTCTCCTGCTTGTGCTCGTGCAGTACGTTTGAAACGTGCTGCATGGGGCAGGTACCGGTACAATAGAACCGCTGAGAGACTTGTTGATTTTAAGCAGAAGCGTGCGATCGCTCGCCATGTCATCCGTGAAGCTAAACGCACTTGTTGGCGAGACTATGTTTCCACATCACCTCTGCTTCTTCTATGAGTGCAGTCTGGAAAAAAGTGAGGAAATTGAGTGGTAAATACTCTCCTGACCCGGCTCCTGTTCTACGGGTCACTGGTGTTGATATAGCAAACCTCTCGACGTTGCCATTGAACTTGGCACACATCTGGTCCGTATTTCCCGAGGGCTCCATCTATGCCCCTCGTTTCTTTCCTCAAAGTCTGCCAGAGAGTTAGTACCCTTGGACTTTTCTTCTCTCGGAGAAGAACAGTATAATGTGCCTTTTACACTTCAAGAACTGGAGGCAACGCTCTCAGCCTGCCGATCATCGGCAGCTGGGCCTGATGACATTCATATTCGTATGTTACAACATTTACATCGGTCAGCCCTTGTAGTCCTCTTACACCTCTTCAATCTTATTTGGGCACAAGGAGTTCTCCCCAGCTGTGGAAATCTGCCATTGTTCTCCCTTTCCGCAAACCGGTACTACAGGACATGATGCCTCCCACTATCGCCCCATCGCTCTTACAAGTGCAGTTTGCAAAGTGATGGAACGCCTCGTAAATCGACGTTTAATGTGGTATTTAGAGACTCACAACAGTCTCTCCGCTAGTCAATATGGCTTTCGTAAGGGTCGTTCTACCATAGACCCCTTACTACGCTTGGATACGTATGTTCGTAATGCCTTTGCGAATAATCACTCAGTTATTGCCATATTTTTTGACCTTGAGAAGGCATATGACACAACTTGGAGGTATAATATTTTGGCCCAGGCCCATTCCTTAGGCCTCCGAGGCAATCTACCATCCTTCCTTAAGAACTTTTTAACTGACAGACATTTCCGTGTTCGAGTCAATAATGTTCTTTCCCCGGACTTCGTCCAAGCTGAAGGTGTCCCTCAGGGATGTGTTCTAAGCACAACACTTTTTCTCCTTGCTATAAATGATTTGGCCTCTGTTCTTCCACCCAATATTTTGGTCATCACTCTATGTTGATGACTTCGCTATTGCTTGTGCAGGCGCTGACTGTCACCTTATTGCAGTTTCTCTCCAGCATGCGGTCGACCGTGTTTCCACTTGGCCACCACACATGGGTTTAAATTTTCAAGTACCAAAACTCACCAAATTACTTTCACTAGACGCTCTGTTATCTCCGATCATCCTTTGTATCTCTATGGCTCCCGTATCCCCGAACGTGATACATCAGGTTTCTAGGCCTTCTCTTTGACCGTCGGTTAACCTGGAAACCTCACTTACCTCTCTGAAGGCAACTTGTCACAGCCGGCTAAACCTTCTTAAAACCCTTGCTCATCTTTCCTGGGAGCTGATCGTCGAACTCTGCTTCGCCTACATTCAGCCCTCGTTTTATCGAAACTCGATTATGGTGACCAGATTTATTCCGCGGCCTCTCCTGCTACTCTCTCTAGCCTTAACTCTATCCATCACCAAGGCTTACGTTTGTGCCTTGGTGCTTTTTCGCTCTTCCCCTGTTGAGAGCCTCTATACAGAAGCAAATGTTCCATCCTTGTCTGATCGCCGTGATGCCCATTGCCTTCGTTACTATGTACGCTCTCACGATCTACACAATCCTTCCATTTATAGAATGGTCACCGATATTAGTAGACATTCTTTATTCGTTCGCCGCCCGTTTGCTCCGTCCCTTTTCTCTTCGCCTACATTCACTCTTGTCTTCCCTTCAGTTACCACCTTTATATGTTCATGTAGCATCTCACTTTTCCCTGCCCCCCTGGGAAGTTCCAGCTGTTCGGGTCTGTTCTTTCTCACTCCCTTGCTCGAAAGCTCAACTGCCTACGGTGGCTTCCCGCTCTCTTTTTCTTGATCACTTCCACTCCCATTCTCATGCCACCGCTGTGTACACAGATGGCTCTAAGTCTTCAGACGGCGTCGGATTCGCAGCAGTGTTTCCGGACAGCGTCGTACGAGGGCATTTACTATCTTCAGCTAGCATTTTTACTGCTGAACTGTATGCCATTCTTGCAGCACTTATTCGTATTGCATCTATGCCTGTGTCATCATTTGTAGTAGTCTCAGACTCCCTTAGTGCTCTACAGGCTATACGAAAATTTGATACATCTCATCCCACTAGTTCTCCGTATCCAACTTTGGCTACGCCGTATCTCTACCAAACATAAAGATATTGTTTTTTGTTGGGTCCCTGGTCATGTCGACGTACAGGGCAATGAACAGGCAGACACTGCTGCGCGGTCAGCAGTATATGACCTACCAATTTCCTATCGAGGTGTTCCATTTCTGGACTATTTTGCTGCAATAGCTACCCACCTTCGCACCCGTTGGCAACAACGTTGGTCAACTCTGCTCGGTAACAAACTTCATTCTATTAAACCGAGCATAGGTTACTGGCCGTCTTCTTGTCATCAGTGCCGAAGTTGGGAGACCACTCTCTCCCGCCTTCGCATTGGCCACACTCGTCTTACTCATGGGTATCTCATGGAGAGGCACCCTGTTCCTCTCTGTGAGCAGTGTCAAGTTCCAGTATCGATTAGCCCACATTCTGTTAGACTGCCCTCTCTATCAACGAGCACGCAGAATTTACCTCCAACTCGTCTTCGTTCTACTACTCTCTCTTTACCTTCCCTTCTGCTGATGGACCCTCCTTTAATCCTGACTCTCTCATTGACTTCTTGACAAACGTCCGATTTACTCCACAAACTCTGATGATACTTTTCGCACTCCCCTCAGCCCTTTCTGGTTCAGTCTCTTGCTGCCCTTTACCCTTTCACCATCCACTGCCCCGCTGTTATCCGTAACCTGTTGCTCATCCATCTCCCTTTTGCCACCTGATGCCCTCACTTCCTTCCTGCCCTGCAGCGCTGTATAGTCCTTGTGGCTTAGCGCTTCTTTTTGATTATAATAATAATAATAATGGTAAGAGAGAATAATAAATTATATTACGATATAAAACGTGTACTTACAGTTGAGAAGTCAAGCTGTAACATGTTAATAATGACATTACATATCCAAATATATGCAGAAAGTCGCTTCCATTTGGGTAACCAGTCCTTTTCAAATAGCAGTTCAACTTCATGGACAGGTTTTGAGAATCTGTATAAAAGAACAAACAAACTAGAAAGGCATATACCCTCTTCAAGAATAAAAGCCACAATACCTACTGTGATAAATAGATGTATGGATATATTCAGCATTCATGATATAATCATTCTCTCTACATGCCCATACATCAAGCAAGCTTTATTTTTTAATTAAAATATGTATAAGCATTACTCACCTCAGTGCTATATAATTCTTCAAAAGAAACATGTAAAGATCCTTTAGTGAGACACTTTCATCATACTGATATTGTTCAATAAAATGATCATACACACTCTTGGTAAGCTGGAAGTCCTTGGCCCTCATCAGATGCTTAACAATATTCAGGCTTGGATTGTACACATTGTAATCCTTCAGAACATTAACACTACAATGCATGATCTCTGAGACACTGGAAATAATTAAAATTATTTTTGGAATTGCTGTATTAATAACATGTCTAGTTTGAAACTGCTGAACAATCTTAAATTGTAATCATTATTTAAAGTTCAGGAAAGAAGATTTAAAACATATACATACATATAAACATATATACATACATACATACAAACACACAGTAAAGGATATCCAATAATAGTAATACACATATACATGGACCCTTGCCTAACGAACTCATCGCATAACGTTAAATCCGCCTAACGATACATTTTAACGCAAAAATATTGCTAAAAAACTCGCTCAAGCATCCGATATACGAAACGCGTCCACGTGCGGCCTGAGCCCGCCTAACTTGTTCGTGGGTGCCAGTGTTTACAAGCCAGCCACCGCGGTCGCTTCCAAGCATACAATCGGAACATTTCATATCATCACAGCCTTTTAGTGATTGCAACCTCCAAAATAAGTCACCATGGCCTCATGAAAGCTTCTAGTGCCAACCCTACAGCAAAAAGAGTGAGAATTACTATGGATAATGAAGAAAGAGATCATTGCTAAAGTATGAAAGCAGAGTGTGTGTCTCCGACATGGCCAGGTTGTACACAAAACCCCAATCAACCATCGCTACTATTGTGGCCAAGAAAACGGCAATCAAGGAAGCTGTTCTTGCCAAAAGTGCAACTTTGTTTTTGAAACAGAGATCCGCAAGTGATAGAAGAGTTGAGAGACTGTTATTGTGTGTGGATAAACGAAAACAGATAGCAGGAGATAGCATCTCTCAAGCGATCATATGTGAAAAGGCTAGGAAGTTGCATGACGATTTAATTAGAAAAATGCCTGCAACTAGTGATGATGTGAGTGAATTTAAGGCCAGCAAAGGTTGTTTGAGAGATTTAAGAATCGTATGGCATACATATTGATAAGGCATGGTGAGGCTGCCAGTTTGGACCACAAAGCGGCTGAAAAATTTGTGCAGGAATTCAAGGAGTACATAGACAGTGAAGGACTGAAACCTGAACAAGTGTTTAATTGTGACGAAACAGCCTGTGTGGAAGAAAATGCCAAGCAGGACCTACATTACTCAGGAGGAAAAGGCACTCCCAGGACATAAGCCTATGAAAGACAGGCTTACTCTGTTGATGTATGCCAATGCTAGTGTTTTTTTTTTTACTAGTGGTGATTGCAAAGTGAAGCCTTTATTGGTGTATCACTCTGAAACTCCCAGAGTGTTTAGGAAAAACAATGTCCTCAAGGCTAATTTGTGTGTGCTGTGGAGGGCAAACAGTAAGGCATGGGTCACTAGGGACTTTTTCTATGACTGGTTACACCATGCATTTGCCCCCACTGTGAAAAATTACCTAATTGAAAAGAAATTATACCTTAAGTGCCTCCTGGTATTAGACAATGCTCCTGGTCATCCTTCAGACATGGCAAGAGCACTTTCTGCGGAAAAGGCTTCATTAAGGTCAAGTTTTGCCTCCTAATACCACTCCTCTCCTGCAGCCCATGGACCAGCAGGTCATTTCCAACTTCAAGAAACTGTACACAAAAGCTATGTTTGAAAGGTGCTTTGTAGTGACCTCAGAAACTCAATTGACTCTAAGAGAGTTTTGGAGAGATCACATTAGCATCCTCAATTGTGTAAACATTATAGGTAAGGCTTGGGAGGAAAGTGACAAAAGAGGACCTTGAACTCTGCTTGGAAGAAAACTGGCCAGTTGAGGAATCCATTGTGGCATTGGGGAAGTCCTTGGGGTTGAGGTTAGTGGGGAGAATATGGAAGAGTTGGGGGAGGAGGACAATGAAGAACTAGCCACTGATGAGCTGCTAGATCATCTTCAACAGCAAGAGCCACACCTAAGGAAACTGTTTCCCGGAGGAGGGAATAGAGAAATTGAGGAATTTTGCCTACTTCAAAGATTAAGGAAATGTGTGGCAACGTGGCTTAAAGTGCAAACCTTTTTGATGAAAATCACCCTCACACAGCTATTGCAAGCCGTGTTGGCAACCTGTACACTGACAATGTTGTGAAACACTTTAGGAATGTCATAAAGGAACGGGAGGTACAGGCCTCTATGGACAGATGTGTTATGCGACAGAGGTCCAGTGACTCTCAAGCTGGTCCTAGTGGCATTAAAAGAAGAAGGGAAGTAACCCCGGGGAAAGGACTTGCCACCTCAAGTCCCAATGGAAGGAGATTCCCCTTCTAAACATTAACACCATCCACAGTCTCCCCTCCTCCATCCCATCAATCATCACTAGATCTTCAATAATAGGTAAGTGTCATGTAACTGTGCATGTCTTCTTCAGTTTGTGTGTATTAAAATTAATATTTCATGTGGTAAAAATTTTTTTTTGTTCATACTTTGGGGTGTCAGGAACGGATTAATTTGATTTCCATTATTTCTTATGGGGAAAATTAATTCGCCTAACGATAATTTCGCCTAACGATAATTTCGCCTAACGTTGAGCTCTCAGGAACGGATGTAATTAGCGTTAGGCGAGGGTCCACTGTACAGTGGTACCCTGAGTTTCGGCCATAATTCATTCCAGAAGGCTGTTCAAGTGTCATTACCGAACAAATTTGTTCCCATAAGGAATGATGTAAATTAGATTAGTCCCTTTCAGACCCTCAAAAATACATTTACAAAAGCACTTACAATAATACACTTGCATAGATGTTCGAGTTGGGAGGTGTATGAAACTCAGGGTACCAATGTAGTGTGTTCCCAGTTCCCAGCAATAAGCAAAAATCGACGGTGGGTGGAAAAGAGCATGTTTTTCAATATCGAATGCATCAAATGCCTGATTACATGTTTACACTATCATATATTAAGTGCTAAATACAGCTAGGCATAAAAAACAGTTACAAAAGAAAAATAAATACATAGTACATACAATATTTACCCTAAAATGTGGTGCCAGTCGTCCTTCCCTTAAGCAAATGTGTGAAAAAGGCGCAAAAGTGGAAAAAGCATCAAACATAATGAATAATGGCTTGATTAAAAACCAACAAAAGTATGGAACACTGAAAAGAAGATGTTGAATGTGGGGGCCCTCCTGTACTACATACAAGAGCTGTTGAAGTTAGAATATTTTTTCTTTCTGCAATACTGAATCATATTCTGTATGATAATTTCAAACAATTCAAGAATTCAAGCCTGGCTAACATCTTTTCCCTGAGTTCCTTTATAAATGTTTAATTACTCTCACTCCAACAGCTCATCAAATCCCAAAAATAATGTGTTACTGTACATAAATTTGCAACAGTGAGTGTGCATGGCTTTAAGGCATAAAGGTAGATAGTTATATAAATGGAATCATCTATGTTTATTTAAATAAAGAACTATAAATATATTCGTAAGAACCTACCTTTCATACTTAGGTGAAAAAACATCTGTGCATTTACATCTAAAAAGCAGGTGAAAACTCAGTGAGAATATTACTAATGGGAATGGCAGTACAGTACTCACTAAACTACTTGATGGAGTGTAGGCGTCTGTATTAAAAGTCATGCAAAATCCAAGTCGATCTCTCAAGTCTTTAGAATTTAGCAGAAGAATCTCCTTGTACTCTTGAATTTCATCCAGCTGTAGCCTTCACTCTGCAGATGCACCAGAGCAACTTTCAGTTTATATTACATATAAAAGGAACTTAACTGTGCTGTTCATAAAGCATTAATAGTTACAACCACCTATTGTACAATACTTGTAATGCTTTCCAACTATAGAAGATTTTATGGCATTTACATTAAAGAAATTGCCATTACTGTATAATATATATTGCTGTACTTTGCTTTAGGGTGGTTTTTGTCAGTAACCCTGGTGCAATGGAAGGACTGCAACTATGTATGTGGCTACGAGCAGCCATATATAGTTTCAACCCTTCCAACCCAGACATTAACAAAAGTTTCAAATACAAGAAGATGTATTTGAAACTTTTGTTAATGTCTTGATAAAATTTTTCATAAAAAAAAATATAACTAGAGGAAAGTTTGTTCCCAAGTTTCCCAAAAAGTCCTGTGTTCTTTCAAGCTCTTATCATAGATTAATCTTAATAGATCCTTTTTTATTTGATCAATCCTCCTTGTTAATTCCTTGAGTTTCAAGATTTTTAAAAATTCCAAAGACAAATTATTTTAGTGGTAGCTTTGAAATTAAATGGGATTTAACTCGGAAGAAATATGAACAACACATACAAGTACATACATGAGCTACAGTAAATGACTGCAAATCCAATCATGCCTACTACACTGATAATTTTTGATAATACCCACTTCAATCTTAAAACTCCCATAAATCTCAGAAAACCAGTGCATTACATGTCACAACTGGCTGATATTTTTGCATGTACCTAAAACTTTCTATAACATTAGGTACTCTACAGATCACAAGAAAATGTAGGATCTAGGCAAGTACCAATAGGAAGGGCATCTGTCTGGTGCTCAGAAGATGGAGGATCAAACCTGCAAACCCCATCTTGCACTGAATGGCCCACATGGGTTTACCGCTTAACATTGAGTTAAACAAAATTCAACAAATACAGATCATAAGTTTAATCGGATTCATTTTCTGGATGTGTGCTAAACTCTAATACAAAAAAACTGTGTGGAATACCTACACTACCCTAACTAATTCACAAATTTTGTCTTCATCACTAGCTTGAATAACTACCAAGAAACAAAATATAAGAAAAATATAAGTATTTACCTTGAGAACAGTTAATGTTTTATCAAGTTCAGTCTTAAGGACAGTCTTAATTTTGGGGAAGTCTCGTATAAAAGTGTGCACTTCGCTGTGACTAATCATGTCCTCTGAAAAATTATGAAAAAACCTGTATTAGTACTGAAAAGTATTGGAGTACTTTACAACACCCAGAGGTTAAAATTTTTTAAACAATCACTGGGAAGTGAAAAACCCTTAGAAGTCATACACTACCTGGGAAATGAAGGGGAATCGAGTCTGAACCAAGGAAGAGGTAAGTAGTTTAATTCCTTATGAAACACATGTGGTTACAGTTCAGAAAGTACAGTAATTAAAGAAAAAATACAACAGTCTCACTGTATTGTGGCAAGTTACAACATTGGCTTTACTAGTAACTTATACTCCATCAATTCTTCTATTTGCTCTCACATCGTAGAGTGAAAAATTATTCCAGCACACAATCCGTAATGAAGCTTCTAGAAAATGCAAAACATTCCTTTCTTGTAAATGCTATTCAAAACATCTATCCCCCTGTCTCTTTCAGCTTGCTTCTATACTTGTAGCAAGTGTTCTATTCCATCTCACATCTGTTTTGAGTAGGAGCAGCACTCCTGGGAAGGCTATGTTGTCTCCCTTCAATCATATTACACAAATGTAAACTATTTTTTTATATATAATTAAGTCATGTATTAAGAAAAAATAATTGAATAAGCTGCCATATAATGCATTGTTTGACGATTTTTCTTAACGAAGAGTCCCTAAAACTGGTGTAGGAACTGAAATGGTTGTAAATACCAAGAAGGTGTAGTAAATGACACTTAGATGCATTGGATACCTTATAATCAATGACAAGTTTCTGCCAACACAGAGGCTTTTCATAAAATATGATAAGGCCTCTGCATGGGCAAAATGTCAATAATAAAGGTATCCACTGCATCTGAGCATCACTGACTCTACCATGGTTCATGTAACTATAGTGACTTGCAACAAAAGAACTTTTGTTTACTTGTCATTCTGCCTCTATTTTGATTGTTGTCCTCACCAGACCCTAACATTTCCTACATCAACTTGCTCTGTCTCTTAATACTGCTTTCATGTTTTCACCTTCTCCCTTCCGTATTGCCTGTCAATTAAACAACTAAAGAGCAAAACAAAATACAGTACCACTTACTATAATGATAATTAATGACTGAGTTCCAAGACCTAAGGTAATGTAAGGTTAACTTCTCTCTTTGTGTAGACTTCATTTGTTGATCTTCAACCAAAATTTTTCTACTGGTGCTCATGAGCCTCAAAACCAGTGAAGAGCGCACCTGATGAAATTTAATTCACAATTACAATGATATCCTTCTTTGTGCACCATCTTTACAGTAAACCCTCAATTTAAGGAAGTAATCTGGGAAAAGCAGGTTATCTGGTAATGGCACCTGTGATAGATAGAGGTGAGATTATTTTGCTGCAATCATGGCAGTTGATTCAGAACCAATGGGCAAGGTCCACAGTCTCCAGATCAACTGACCTAGTGAATTTTGTCCCATATTTCTGAACTCAGTTAACTGGAGGTCTGTTCAATCAGGGTTTACTGTACTTGACATTATTGCTTTAAGATTAGCCGTTGATGTCCTTTTTGTTATGTCAAATTATTATTATAATGTTATATAAAAAAAAATGCTGAGCTTGTAACAGTCATACAGTGTAATTTTTTCAGTCAAGAGAACCAATTATAATTTATTTTATAATATATGATGATTTTTAAGACTGATTATAACTAATTTGCATTTAGTAAAATTTAGTATTGGTCTGAAGTTTGTGACTGCAGCAGCATGGAATTCAAAATTAGTATTGTACATGTACAAAATAGTATATTCTGTACATTATATACATATATTGTAAAATCCTTGTTGTCCACAATTTGTATGTGCCATTTACCTTCTAATAGAGTTATCACTTGTTCAGTGATTATTACTAGGACATTATTATTATTATAATCAAGGGGGAAGCGCTAAACCCGGAGGATTATACAGCGCCTGGGGGGGGGATATGGAAGGCATTCAGGCTTAATTCGGGGAACTGGAGCACAGATCCAATTCCCTAAATCAAGAGCCCCTCACCAAACATCAAGGAACCTTCCTTGAGGGGATTACTAGGACAGTTGCCAATACTTTCTACATGTATAAGTAAATAACACCGCCTTGCCGTTCAATAAGTTCAAATAATATTCTATTTCAACTTGAAAATTTAAAAACTTTGCTGTTTTTTTCACTAAGCTTGATAATTAGTGACTTTAATTATACCAATAAATACAGTACTGGAATAATCAACATTGCAAGATGACTACCTGAACAATATTTACAGATAAAACTGCTACGAAAAGGGAACTAACTTACATCTCTTAACGATACTCACACAAATAATAGTTCAACATTAAAGGGCAAGATCAGAGACTCACCACAGAGCACTTCCATGCCTGCTGAGCAATGAAATTCAACATTTCTGCAGTGATGGTGGCAATGTCTGAAAGAATGCAGAATTTAATATTACTGTATCGTAGTACAGTCCTCAGAACAAACACTATTATCCTGAGAATATAACAGAAAGAGACCTTGTTTAAACACATCAAATATGCAGTAGTGTGTAATGCTGTACTGTATCAAGGTTATGGTGCAGTGTTTTTATTTCAGCTTGGTTGGGAGACACAAAAATAACCCTTAAAAGTATTTTATTAGCATGTATATAAGTTTATTGAAGTGCAGTTACACAATTTTAGATAATTACAATTGTCTTACACAGTAACATGTGTCAATTACGCAGAATAACTCAAAAAGTCAGTGACTCATGTCCACTGAGGTCCTTGTAATATCTAATTATTAACCTTACAGCAACACAAATTATTTTCATAAATCCACACCATTCTGAATTTAAGTATATACCATTTATCAAACATGAAAACAAGATAATAATAAGAAAAACAAGTTGAGATTCAATAAAATAATTGTGAATTACAGTATTATATTTACAGAAAGCTCTAAACCATTAAAAGTTAATGAGTCACAAAATCATAATGACACGATTGTAAACAAACCATACTACGGGTGGGGATAAAACCCACGATCAGAGAGTCATAAAAGTCAATGAGTACTACATAGCCAAGGTGAAAGAGATGACAGAGGAAGTAAGGTGATGATGGAGGGGAATCAGGTAAAAAAAAAAAAAAAGAGGGCCAGGGAAGTGTCACAGCAGATCTAGCATGGTTATTTTTTTTTTTTTTGGTATCAATTAAGAAGTGATGGAATCTGGAAAGGTATTATATTCAGGAGCCATCATAATAATGCATAATTAAAATAAATACACAATACAAATACCTAGCTATTTTTGCTAGTTAAGAAAGTACCTGGAGGGGGGTTAGAGAGATATAAAATAAGAGGCAGAACACTACTGTAAATAAAATAATGAATTCCACCAAGAACATGTTGCTAACTATTACCAATTATCCAAAAGATTGTTCTAACATACTGCTGTACTGCATTAATATAGAAATATTATAAACATGGGAACGCTAATTATTATTATTATTATAATCAAGGGGAACGCTAAACCAGTAGGATTATACAGCGCCTGTGGGAGGGGGAGAAGGCATTCAGGCTCAATTCAGGGAACGAGCACAGATCCAATTCCCTAGATCAGAGCCCTTCACCAACGTAAGGATAATGAAGTAACAACAATCTTTAACAAACTTTAAAATAAATTACGTTTCTAAATATAGTAATTATCTTTGTGGTAGCCAGTAACAATGATATATACAGCAGTTGCATCAACATTAGACAGCAAATTTAAACTAAAATACTGCAAAACTACGCCGAGTTATTTGTTTGTTTGTTGGGTTCATCAGGACCACAAACTCCGCAGAGGAACACTCATCTACTTCTTTTATTGTTGGGGGTTTCAAGGGCCACTGACAACCTACACCGTATCGAACCCTGTTTCAAGATGACCAGGCAGGAAGTGCTATTTAGGAAGTGTTACCCCTAGTTAATCATGTAAGATTGGAAGTAAAAGATAAGATTTGTTCAGATTTTTAACCAGGGGGAAGGTTAGCCACCCAGGATAATCCAAGAAAAATTAGTATATTACGA